TGTATTGGGTAATCTCTTCCTGTGTTGATTCCTTTATGGCACTCGTGGCCAGTAAAGTCTCCGAACTATATGGAAAAGATCTTACTCTCAAAGTAAGCAGGTACAGCTAATCTATGTGGATCCTTTCTAACTGAGACAATAAAAGTTTAATGGAAGAATAGTGACAAAGTATAAAATAATAAATTGAGATCAAATGTGAACAATAAACTAACATTCGATGTAAAACATTGCAACAGCTATTTGGCATAAGATAACCTGTCTGGTATCAGTAACTAAGGTTTCCCAGGAATTATTTCAGCCTTTTAGGAAATGTAAGATGCCAGTTTGGAATTGCAATAACAAAATCCAATAAAAGTACGATTATGAGGTTCTCAAGGTTGTTGTTTTTTCTCTTTCCAACAACTATTTTTGTCCCCTTACTGTAATCCCTCCCATGCAGCCACCAGTGTGGTTTATCTTACAGCAAACAAATGCAATAAAGTAAGATAAGGCCAGGGTGAAAAGTTTAGCCATACTCAGAGCCCTGTTAAATGTAATCAGTTATGACCCTGTCAAGTAAATTATTGAATTGATAGCGAAGGCGACGCTGTGTTATCTCTCTTATAATTGGTAATTATTTGAGAACTGGCCTATGTAACACTTCTCAGAAAAACCTGGAATTGTCGCACGCTGCAGGTTTCAAGGTGACTGGTGAGCACAAGTCGTTAAAGGAAGAACAAAACTTAATATAAATATGTAACATTTGCTCAGCAAAGGAACAAGAATGAATCAAAACTTTTCACTCTTTAAGTTCGCCTAGAACACAATTATTTATATAGCTCTATAGCCCCAGTATACAGTAATGATTCACTCTGTATTTCTCCTTTGATCCCACATGTTGTCTAAATCTGACCTGCCAATAACCTCAAGTTACAAGCCCAAATTAAGATAAGGAGAGGTTGTCAGAAAGTCAAACAGATGAACAGGTCATGGCAAAGCTGTATCTTATCTGCGACAAGAAAAAATCGTGTCATGAAAAAAAAACACAGCCAAACGCTTTGCTGCACTGTAACAGTGACACGGCTCTCTCTACCAAGAAGTATATCACGGTACAGGACGCCCTCAAACCTTGATCTGTACAAATACATCAGTACAGACTAATCACAAGGACTTTTATTTCGAAGAAAGACATCAGAACGTTTGAAGCAATCAGCTTTATTGAAATAAAAAAAAGGATCAGTGCCTTTATTTCAGCTTCACACAGTGTGACACATTAAAAGCAAAATACACCGCTACAGTATTTTACAGATTCGTGTTTACGTTTTAACATCATCTCAAACTTTTTTCTTTGCCTCGTGTAATTAAAAACAATGTAAAAAAAATTGTTGCGCAGAATTAGTGAAGGTGCTATCGTTCTGTTCCCAGCATTTTAAAATAGGGAGTCCTGTGACCAGGAGAATGTGCGGCGCTCAGCACAGCCGGTGTTGTTGATGAGCTGAAATACAGCCTTGATTGAAGAGGTTTTGGTAAACAGCAGGGCAGGCAGCACATTGCTTGCAGCTGGGGCTTCTGTGAGAGCAGAGAAAGATGTTTATCTCACAGGAATAACCAAGATATTCTACTTATGAACCTCATCGATGGCTCAGTTACTAAGAAAGTCACGCTGTATTTAAAGACTTTATAATATCATAAACATTTTATTGTTTAAATATGTCTAAGCTGTGTGTTTCATTTGCGTTGGGAATATGAGGGAAGCCTTATAACAGAACATATGTGAGAATAATAAATATACACATTTTACAAACATATATGTCAAATTACCTCATAATAAAGCCGGTGAAGATTGGTCGAAAGTAAGCGCTGCCTGGTGATCAGCTCTATGTCTCTGAGTGTTTCAACCTTTCTCCATTTGGCCCTGCGGTTCTGGAACCAAATCTGAACAACACACACAATGACCATTTATTTAGAAAAAATAAATTAAACTTCAATAATACTAATACAAGTATGAAGAAAAGTTAATGCAGTTAATTTACCTACAATGAACCAGTTCACAATAAAAGGAGTCTCGGGGGATTTTGCATTGTAATAAAAACGCCTACATCACATCTAAAACTAACAATGATTCAAAACGTTTTTATAAAAATCCCTAAACAGTGTTTCAGTTTGGAACTAATGATTTTAAATGTGTGCTCTGATCCCGTCTCACCTTATCATTAATCATTTGAGGTTTTGGCTTGTGCAAGAATTCTGTCCAAAGACCATTATTGTCTCTCCACTGATGTGCAAAGACACACAGTTACTGGGATTAGGTTAACTGATGAGTCTAAGTCGCCCACAGGTGTGACTGTCGTGTCCAAATTCATGGGCTGCATCCTCCTGAGGACCCGGCCTTCGCGGTCTACGTGGGCCGGGTCCTCAGAAGGTCAGGTAGGTTGTGCCAAAAAGTGATTGTCTGCCAAAAACTGATTTCCGGTATTTGCCAAAAAGCGATTGCTCATATTTAAAGTGCTATAAGTAACTTGTTGGGC